AAAACAATTATGATATATTAATACCATGGAATATCATGTAGCTGTTAAAAAAGGAAGCAGAGATCTATATAAACTGACTAGAATAATAGGCAAGATGTACTGTTAAATAAAGTGATTCACAGACCAATTAGTATTACATGGTGTTAGGTTTTGAAAAAATGGCTTCTAACACAGAAAAATAGAATAATAGTCACAAAAATATTTTAACCCTCAAAGGGAGGGGATTAAGATTGAGGAAGAAAAATAAAAAGAACCCACAATTTTCATCTCCCTATACCTGGAAATTAAATTCATGCATTTTTTTAGACAAAAACTTAAATACTGGAAGAATATATTCCAAAAGTACCAGTAATTTATCTCTCGGAGTTGGCGTATAGGTAAGTTTTTATTTTCTAAATACTTTTAAGTCCACTTCAAATTTTAAATAATTTTCAACTTTTTTACTTTCAGATTTTCAGCATTTTCTGTTTTTATTTATTTATTTATTTTTTGAGACAGAGTCTCACTCTGCCACTCAGGCTGGAGTACAGTGGCACAATCTTGGCTCACAACAACCTCCAACTCCCAGGTTCAAGTGATTCTTGTGACTCAGCCTCCCGAGTAACTGGGGCTACAGGTGCATGCCATGGTGCCTGGCTAATTTTTGTATTTTTCAGTAGAGACAGGGTTTTGCCATGTTGGCCAGGATGGTCTCGAACTCCTGATCTCAGGTGAATAGCCTGCCTCGGCCTCCTAAAGTGTGTGGATTACAGGCATAAGTCACTGCACCCAGCCTCTGTTTTTATTTTTTAAGCTTATATATCTATTTATCTTAAGAGACAGGGCCTTGCTCTGTTGCCAGGCTGGAGTGCAGTGGCATGATCATGGCTCACCTCACTGCAGCCTTGACCTCCTGGGGCTCAAGAGATCCTCTCACCTCAGTCTTCCAAGTAGCTGGGATTACAGGCATATTCAACCATGCCTGGCAATTTTTTTTTTTTTTTTGTAGAGGTGGGTCCTGCTATGTTGCCCAGGCTGGTCTTAAACTCCTGGCATCAAACAACTATCGTCCCCTTGGCTTCCCAAAGTGCTGGGATTATAGGTATAAGCCACTTTTCCCAGTCAAGTAGCATATTTTTTCATTCAAAATGTAATGTCCCTTGGTATCTCAAAAAGGTTAACTGAATTACCATATGATGCTGCAATTCCACTCCTAGGTATATACCCAAAGGAACTAAAAGCAAGAACTCAAACAGATACTGTATATCGATGTTCTTCACAGCAGTCTTCACAATAGCCAGACGGTAGAAATAACCTATGGGCCCATGAACTGATGAATTATAAATATATATATGTGTGTGCGTGTATATATATATATATGGCACATTTAAAACGTTAACAAAGCTGGCAAATGCATCTCTAGAGAGATAGAGAGAGAGAGAGAGAGAGAGAGAGAGAGTGTGTGTGTGTGTATATATATATAATGGAATATTATTCAGCCATAAAAAGAAATGAAGAACTGGCATATCCTACAACATGAATGAAAAATTAAAAACAATATGTTAGGTAACAGAAACCAGATACAAAAGGCCACACAGTGTATGATTCTGTAAGAAATATCCGGAATTGCTAAATCCATAGAGACATAAAGCAGATTAGTGGTTGCCAGACAGTGGTGGGGAGGAATAAACGGGAAATGATTGCTTACCAGGTAGAGGGTGGGTGATGAAAATGTTCTGGAACTATATAGTGGTGATGGTTGTCACAGTGTAAATCACTGTGAATTTCCAAACGTCACTGACTTGTACAATTTAAAATGGTGAATTTTAGGTTACGTGAATTTTAGTCCAATAAAAAAGTAAAGTTCCTTTTAGGACTCCTAACCACTCAAATTCCAGCTGCCTTTCCTATTATCAGTTTGGTGCGTACCTTACCAGATTTTTCCTTTAAATTTATATGCTAATCTAATATATGGAGATGCTTTTCTCATTCACTATTATTTTATTCTATTAATCAAAGTTTTAGACATATTTCCATATTAGTAGAGAGTCCCATTTATTCCTTCAGGTGCTGTATTCTATTCCATATGCTTTAGAGTTGACCCTTGAGCAACATGGGTCTGAACTTCACGCGTCTAATACTTAGACGCAAATATTTTTTAAACCAAATGTGGATTGAAAATACAGTAATCATGGGATGCAAACCTGTGTATACAGAGGGCCGGCTTTTCACATATATAGGTTCCACAGAGGCGACTGTGGGACTTGAGTATGTGTAGATTTTTGATACAAAGGATACTGGAAACAATCCCTTAAATATATTGAAGGATGCCTGTCTATAGAAACACATCAGTATTTGTATCTACCTCCTTATTAATCATTATTTCCACTGTTTCAAATTATTTGCTGTGACTCTCCTGGAATGAATATTCTTGCATTTGCTTCTTTGTGCTCATGTATGAATGATCTGGAGAGTAGATACCAAAAGTAAAATAGGTATATTATAGGATGTGCACATTTAAAACATTAACAAAACTGGCAAATGCATCTCTAGACTGGCTCGGCCTTTCATAGGTGTACTTGCAATGCATCAAAGCACTGCAGTGCCACCCCCTCACACACACTTCATATATCACTTCTCTTCCCCGTGGCTTCAAGTTATTTTATGGAAAAACAATCAGTGGAAAGTACAGAGTCCCCATTGATGGAACTCTGCCCTGCCTTTTAGTCACTCTTCTTTGAGGAGTAAGTATCTGACTACCAGTGACATTCACAGGACCCTAGCTCTCCACTAAGTCTATCAAACACTTAGGAATCTGATTTATTCATCTGTCATTTTATTGACTCCCTAGAACTCCTAAAGTATCACACTGTTGAATTTACGAATGTCTGGGTTTCTTCCTTCATGAATAGCCTATTTGTAATCTTCCCTATTTTTCTCTTGGACTTTTGTATTTTTCTTATTAACTTACACACATTGTTTATAAATTCTGGATATTACTTGTTAGGTTAGGCTGCCTCCTTTAACATTTTTTATTTAGGTCTTTAATCAATCTGGTATTGTTTTGTTGAATGGTTTCAGAAATGGAAATGATTATTTTATTTTTTTCAAATTGTGATTAATTTGTCTCAAAAGCATGTATTAAATAGGTTCTCTTTTCATGTTGATTAGAAATACCATCTTTACAATTTATTAAATTTCCAAACACATATATCAAATACTGGTTTTCTATTATTCCTATAATATATAAAAATGATTTCAAAAGTTTAAGGAACTCTTCTTCTTTTTCTTTTTTTCTTTTTGAGACAGTCTCACTCTGTCATCTAGGCTGAAGTGCAGTGGCCCAATCTTGGCTCATCGCAACCTCTACCTCCTGGGTTCAAGTGATTCTCGGGCCTCAGACACCCAGGTAGTGGGAATGACATGCATGTGCACAACCACACCCAGCTAATTTTTGTATTTTTAGTAGGGACGGGGTTTCGCCATGTTGGCCAGGCTGGCCTTGGACTGCTGGCCTCAAGAGATCTGCTACCTCGGCCTCTCAAAGAGCTGGGATTACAGGTGCGAGCCACCGCGCATACATTGCCAAGTGAAAGGGGCCAAACTAAAGACTGCGTACTATACGATAATAACTAGATGACACTCTGGAAAAGGCAAAACTATGCAGACAATAAAAACATCAGTGGCTGCCAGGGATTGTGGGATGGAAAGAGAAGACAGGATGAATAGGTTGTATAGTATCATAGTAATAATAGTGTAATAGTGAATCCATGTCATTACACATTTGTCAAAACTTGTAGAATGTATCAAAGAGTGAACCCTAATGTAAACTATAAACTTTAAGTTAATAATATGTCATTATTATTGACAAATCAGTTGTAACATATATTACACATTAACGCAAGATGTTAAAAATATCACAGCTTGCCAGAAATAAGAAAAAAGAATTGTGGGGTGGGGAGTGAGAGGTATATAGTAAGTCTATAATTTTTGCTCATTTTTTTGGTAAACTAAAATTGCTCACAAAAGTCTATTAGTTAAAAAAAAAAACAATACCTATAGCAAAAGACTAAAAAGAATATAAAAATAAAATAAAAATAACAAAATTGAACTATATCATACAAAAGATATATTAAACTTTTATAAATGAACTAGATACTTAAATAAAAAATTTCAGATTGAATCATGAACAATATCAGAAACATAATTAAGATAAAATAATTCAGAAAAGCTGAAAACAGAAGGACGAGCCAATGCAGATTGGGCAAATATAAACAAAAAGACAAAACTTAGTTAAAAAATATTAAGTAAGACTCAATGATATTTTATAATGCCATAATGTGTAATTTGCACAAGGGTATTATACTTGTGAATATCTATGCACCAAATAACTTAGGATTAACATTCATTAGATAAAAATCACTTGAAATATAAAAAGAAATAAATGGAAACATACTAGTAGAAAGCAGCTTTCATTCATTCCAATAAAGTGAATAAAAATTGTTAAGCTTATAGAAAACCCAAATTAAAAATGTGATAACCAATATATAACAATGTCAACATATTTTATAATTTATTAATTAAAAGTATGTACGAGATCACTGTAGACAGACCAACGGAATAGGAAAAAATATATACAGACTCAAATCTATAAACCATAATAAATTCCACAGATTTACATGTTAAAAAAATCAAACATTTAAATGTATAAAGCATCACATAAAAGCACCAGAAAACTGACCAGGCACAGTGGCTCATGCCTGTAATCCTAGCTCTTTGGGAGGCCAAGGTGGGAAGACTGTTTCAGACCAGGAGTTTAAGATTAGCTTGGGTACCAAAATTAGTCTGTCTCTACCAAAAAAAAAAAAAAAAAATACTAGAAAATGGAAAAGTTTTTTGGCAACCTTAAAAAGAACAAGGCTTTTCTGAGTAACTATCAAAATTCAGATAAATATGACAACAATAAAAATAAACAAAAATAAACTATATACTTCAGGATTGGAAAACCACACAAACACACACAGAAACCCATAAATGACCAGCAGAGAAAAAACAGTTGCAATTCATGTAACCACCAGGGCAAATATCTCTCACTTTTAAGGGTTTTTACTGATTTACAAAAGACCAACGACTAAATTTTAAAAAAGGAGGGCCAAAGATATAAATAGGCAATTCACAGACAAGGAAGTTCAAATGTAATTTACACATTTGAAAAGATGTACTGACCTTTACCTATCTTAAGAGATATACAAACTAACTGCCCAAATGGAGATATTATCTTTTACCTTGTTAGACTGGCAAAAATTTAAACGTTTGATAACAAAAGTTTAGCAAGGCTGTGGAGAAAATGGAGTTCAGACATTCCTTCTGAAAGTATAAACTAATACAACCCCAGGAGAACAATAACCAGATTACAAATGCAACTTGTAAAAATGCAGCTGACCCAGCAATTATACTTATTACAGATCTATACACACACAAAAAAACACTTTATATACAAAGTTATTCATTGCAGCATCATTTGGAATGTCAATCAATGTCCAACAGGTAGGAAACTTGTTGAGTTGTGATATTCCAGACAGTGAAACACTAACTAGCTATGAAAAAAGAAAGCCCTTTATGTATTATGAAAAAATTTCCCAGATTTATTATTGACTAAAAATAAACAAGGTGGAAAGAGCCGTGTACACTATACCAACAACTGTAGTTAAAAAAGATGGAAGACTAAATATTTATTTTTGCTGACGCATATACTAAAAACATCTGAAAGAAGACCAGAGTGGAATTGGCTGGCTGGGGACAGATGTAAGCAAGCCTTTTTACTGCAATATCATCATGCTTTATTTATTTTTATTATTTTTTGAGTCTCGCTCTGTCGCCCAGGCTGGAGTGCAGTGGTGCAATCACAGCTCACTGCAACCCCCTCCTCCCAGGTTCAAGTGATTCTCATGCTTCAGCCTCCTGAGTAGTTGGGATTACAGGCACCTGCCACCATGCTCAGCTAAGTTTTGTATTTTTAGTAGAGATGGGGTTTTGCCATGTTGGCCAGGCTGGTCCCGAACTCCTGACTCTCAGGTGACCCACCCGCTTCGGCTTCCCAAAGTGCTGGGATTACAAGCGTGAGCCACCGTGTCTGGCCCACTTTATTTATTTATTTTGAGACAGAGTCTTGCTCTGTAGCCCAGGCTGAAGTGCAGTGGCATGACCTCGGCTCACTGCAACCTCCATCTCCCGGGTTCAAGGGATTCCTGTGTCTCAGCCTCCCAAGTAGCTGGGACTATAGGTACACGCCACCATGCCTGGCTAATTATTGTAACTTTAGTAGAGACAGGGTTTTGCTGTGTTGGGCAAACTGGTCTTTGCCCTCAAGTGATCCGCCCACCCCAGTCTCCCAAACTGCTGGGATTACAGGCATGAGCCACTGTGCCTGGCCTCTTCATATATTTTATATACTCATTTATTTTTGAACCATGTGAATATCTATTAAAATTAAATTATTTTTATAAGGCATTGCAATTTTAGGATATTATGTTGCAATATTAGTTTGTTATAGTATTTTTAAAAAGTTATTACGAAATGGACTTGGGTTTTAAAATGTAAGGAAAAGATGTACATACTGAGTTTCCTTTGTTTCCTTTTCCTCGCTAATCCACACATCAGTAATAGTGCATGACAAGCTCTCATCTTTGTTTGTTCCACTTGGCTCTTGTAGAATTTCTGTTTCCAAATCATCAGGTTCTGCAAAGGATAAACATAACAAGAAACATCTCAAAGCAAAATTTGTCATGAGAATATTGAATAAACTTTCTATAAATTATTGCTACCTAGTTTTAGGGTAATATATTCATTGTAACAGAAAAATTAAATATTCTATCTACAGGTTTTAAATCTTACTATTAAGTCTCTAGTTATTTCTCAAATGACAGGCTCTTTTGCCTTTTACTGTAATAAAAATATTCAAAGGAAATATGGTACACTCTATATTTTTCACCATGATATAAAATTTTCTCTTCCATTAAAATTTTAGGAATATGTAAATTGGTTTAGAGAAGGTATAAAAACAGTTTAAAGAATAAAGATGTCTCTGGTTAGAAATATGGAAGAACAGACTGTGATACTACTGATTGGTAACTAAAATAAAAATTTAATCTTCAAAATCTATCTTTTAATAGTCAAAAAAAAAACCTATTACCTGGACTTTCACAATGATACTGAGAACATAATTGAATGGCACTAAACATCTGTTTTCTTACACCCTCAAATAATTGGTTTTTTTTTTGGAGGTTGGGTTTTATTCCCATCACCCAGGATGGAGTGCAGTGGTGTGCTCTCAACTCACTACAACCTCTTCCTCCTGGGCTCAGGTGATCCTCCTCCCTCAGCCTCCTGAGAAGCTGGGACTACAGGCACACATTACCATGCCTGGCTAATTTTTGTATTTTTAGTAGAGATGGGGTTTCACCATGTTGGCTAGGCTGGTCTCAAGTGATTCACCTGCCTCAGCCTCTCAAAATGCTGGGATTATAGGCGTGAGCCACTGCGCCTGGTCTGACCTTCAATTAATATCAAGATGCTACCTCTATTTTCTGTCAGTGGCTCATTTTTTACCTGGTTGATATTTTCTGAAAGTGAATAGTGATGAGAAGATATTTGTTAACTTCTCTTTTTCCTTTCTGATTAACACTATCAGTACTATGCTGTTTAAGTGAATACCATCCCTCTTACTCTCCCTGGAATATAGACGTACTTTTCTTCTCCATTTTTAGTTTCTAATTATCTGTCTCATTTGGAAAGACAACTGATAATGTACCAATCTTTAAGTTTTTATCTTTTTTTCAAATGATTATTTTGGTCATTCATTCAAGGTTAGCACTTGGGGGGCAAAATCCTTTTTTATTATTTTTATTTTTTTTTTGAGATGGAGTCTTGCTCTGTCGCCAGGCTGGAGCACAGCGGCAGTCTCGGCTCACTGCAATCTCCACCTCCTGGGCTCAAGCGATTCTTCCGCCTCAGCCTCCCGAGTAGCTGGGACTACAGGCATGTACCAAACGCCCGGCTAATTTTTATATTTTTAGTAGAGACAGGGTTTCACCATGTTAGCCAGGATGGTCTCGATCTCTTGACCTTGTGATCCACCTGCCTTGGCCTCCCAAAGTGCTGGGATTACAGTCATGAGCCACCACGCCTGGTCCCTTTTTTATTTTTTAATGAATAACTCTGTTCCCTAGTAGTTTAAGCTATATCATTATCAACTTATTCTTACACTATAAACTTGACTTAACGGCTGTATTGCTTGCAAAGCCTAAAATATTTACTCTCTGGTCTATCAACTCCTGCACCAGGCTATATAGCTTCCATAGAATGTCTAACAGTATTTTCTTTCTTGTTTTTTTTT